TTCAGGCTTTAGAAGTTTCACTAAGTTTTTAGAAGATATTTCCACTCCCACCTCACTTCATCAGGCAGAGTTCATCCACAACTCTCCAGCAAAAATTCACTTTAAGCCACAACTGAAAACCAGTATTTGAGTAAGTTAAGGAGTAAAAAAGCAGAGACATATAAAAAGTTGATATCTTAAAGGGAAGATTTTTTACTACTAGTGTAATGTGCAATATAGCAGACTTATGGGTGTTGAGGGAATCATACATTTGAATTTCCCAACTTCCGTGAGTTTAAAATGTCAGCAGTAATGTTGCAAGATGGCACTTAAATGTAGTAAAAATGATAAGTAAATTAGAAGAAAAGGAAAAATACTCTGGTTATGTATTTATAATAGTGGTAAAGCATTATTTTCTTCCAAGACCACCTTTAAAAACCTGAGGGCAACAGTCTTAACTATAGGCTAAGAATGCTAGCTGTAGCTATTAAAATAGAGATTAGAAGGAGTTATCATCTCCTTTGAATAGCTAAACTTTTACCACTTTCACTCTAGCTCTCTTAACAGATGAGGTCTGTGCATCCGATGGATCTTTGAGAAGGAGCGTGAATTGCAATGAGTTAGAGACAGCAGAGATTCAGGAGCCTTCTTTATAAAAGAAGCTGAGAAATAAAATGAAAAGAAGTAGGAAAACGTCACAATCACAATTCTGCAAAAACACATTACTGAGTAATGCCAGTCTATCACAATACCAATTTGAAGCTGACAGGTATGTAGAATCACCGATGCGTCTTACTATTTCTGATTCCTTCTCAACTCCAGGAGCTGTTGACTTTATATAACTCGCAGTACTTTTCAAGAGTCATGAATACATAAATCCTCTGCTCAGACATTACAAACCGCCTGCTGAAGAGTTCTGAGAGTGACCCCTAAAGATGCTAAGCTACAGAATGTGCCAAAAACGAGAAACAAAAGGATATCTACCACTGGAGACTTTTTACAAGCAGATACTGGAAAAAATATATGCATATATTTCCTAACAACCTGGTCCAGAAGATAGAAAAAAAAAACCAATTTCTTTTATCTTTTGTCCCCCATTTCACAGAATCACAGAATATTAGGAGTTGGAAGGGACCTCGAAAGATCATCCAGTCCAACTCCCCTGCCAGAGCAGGATCACCTAGACCAGGTCACACAGGAACACATCCAGGAGGGTTTTGAATGTCTCCAGAGAAGGAGACTCCACAACCTCTCTGGGCAGCCTGGTCCAGTGCTCTGTCACCCTCACAGTAAAAAAGTTTTTCCTCACGTTCACAAGGAACCTCCTATGCTCCAGCTTGCACCCATTTCCCCTTGTCCTGTCATTGGACAACAGAGAGAAGAGCCTGGCTCCTTCCTCCTGACACTTGCCCTTTACAAATTTATAAACATTAATGAGGTCAAATTTTGTTATGCCAACTCTTCCTTGACTGACAAGACTTTAATATTTTTGTGACATTGTCCTCTAAATGCCATAATGTAAGTGACATATGCTAGTAACAAGAAAAACAACTGCTTTATGCCTATAGAATGTAGTAGCAAAACAAGCTTTTTTTTCACTAGGTACTTAAAATTTACTATCTGCAGCTGTACTGGAGGATCCAGACAAAAGGAAATGGCAGTTATAACACAACCTTTACAAAAACATTTCTCCTAGGTAATTAAATTCTTCAGATATAGCATATCTATGTGCATTCATGGTGGTGGTAGTGTACAGCAAGCAATTGTGTTTCAATGTTTTTGCCTTGGCAATAGCTAGAGGTGCCCATTTGTTCCACCTCACCTGTTTCATGCACAAACAAGGCAGCACCTGCTATACAATCTTAAGTTTTTCCTCAGGCAGATTCCCGTAGAGATGGAGGAACTAAGACAATACAGAGCAATGTGGTGAATTTCCATAAGGGTATGAGTCACCTCAGAGACCTTCACCTGAAAACCGACCCTAAAATGCTCCATACACACAGACACAATAAGGTCAATTCCTAGCAGTACTTCATCCTACACACACACACAGAGCCATATATGAAAACCCAGAAGACAAACTACAGTGGTTTTTTACCTCTACCAAAATCCCTCCAGAGCTGCACACTGCTCAGCAGGAGCCCGAGCAACAAAGGCATCAAGGCCTGAACAACTGGTTCTTTAAGCAAGGCCACTGGGGCAGGCTGCACTCTTCAAACGGGCACTACCATGCAGCTGGTCTATGTCAGTGGTCTCATCACATGCACCACAACAACCCATTACCCAATTGGAATCTCTTAGTACAGAAAATTATGGCCTTGAATTTTTAGAAAAACAATGAGCTAACAGAAATCACAAGAGAACTGCATTTTTTTACAGCTGAAAGTAGAAAATCCTTCCAATACCCAGCACACATCCTATGTCATAACTGCAACAGTGTGAAGTTCAAAAAGGAAAACCAGACTAAGATGTTTCCTGACTCAGAATCCTTTATAAGATTTGTCTAGAGCCAAAGTTCATGAGGACAGATTGAACCATTCTTACCCCTTATCCCAAGACCCCTGTACTTACAAACTGCACAAGCTGAAGAGATTTGTAAGTCGTAAAGCTACAGACTGGCAAGAAAAACACTGGGGTTTCTATTTTTGCAGTGCTTTCCTTTTGTTCAGAAGTTTATTAATTTCAGTCAGCACTTGCAACTTTTTAATATTATACAGGAATGAAATAGTTTTGTAAGTTGTATCATAACTCTGTTCAACCAGTTAATTTAAGGCAAATTATTTCTCTATACAACACAGTATGTAGACATTTACTAGATAGCACATTCATTTAAAGTGGACTTCATAATAACAGCTATGTAACTACAGAATACCAGTAATTCTATTCATACCAATAACCCACTTAAAAAATAAATGCAAGAACTAAAAGGTGCAGTAAAATCACTTAAAGTTACCAAGAGCCTCAGTTCTCTTTGTTTCACATGGATTCATTTTGATTCACATGAAACAAGAATTGCCAGAAGCTAAAGCTATTTGGTGTGCAGGGAGGTAGAGGAAGAGCGAGGACTTATCCAATTAAGAACAAAACAAACAAATAAACAAATAATAAAAGAAACCCCACCCCAAACTTTTTAAGTTAATAAGAAAATGTTACTTTGTACAACATCAGTCTGTTTCATTAGTATATTGTTCTCATTAATAGGTATTTTCATCAATACATTTAATTCTATTACATGACTAAAATAGAATTTTAGGGAGTGTATTTAGCAATACTATGACAGTAATCAGTTCTGTAACATGGAAACAGTTTTAGAAAAAGGTCAGATCAAATATACAGTATATTTTTACAAGTATATGGGATTTGTGCAGATAGGATTTGCTTTCATCCCCATTTTGTAGTAGTCCAAAGAAACATTTCAAAGACATACAGTATTATTTGTTCTGCTATCTGAAATAAAAAAAAGTTTGAACCTGCATATATCTGATCCTAACACTGGAAAATTCTGTCTGTAACAGGACTAAAGATCCAAACTATACACTTCCATTTTTCAACAGCAGACAAGTAAGCTCTTAACCCATAGCTTCACATTTTTACTACCAGATCACTGGTGAAATGTTTTATTTTAACTATCATTTTGCCTCTTCACACAAGTCAGTTTCTTAAACAAACCAACCAGACACAACAAAACAAAACAAAACAAAACAAAACAAACCCACAAACCACCACAAACAAGAAAAACCAACTCTCCAAAAAGAAATGGAACCTGCTTATGGACACCGACAGAATACCATAACCACATTTAAGACAACCCTTCTTCCCTTTCTCTCACATTATAAATTTTAATAAAACAAAGGAGAAAAACTGGAATATATTTTACCAACTTTATAAACACTGCAATAATTTCTCATCATGGTCCCAACTGTTCCCTTAAAGAAAAGGATGAAACAAGTGTTTTCACACTGTAACGAGCTAACTAAATGTGTTCCTAATACTACCAACACAATAAAAAGAACACTGGTAAGTATTAGGAATCATGACATAAAGACTAACTTCTGCTCAGAAGGGACAGAACTGATAAATATTATAAGCTAGGAAAACTATCAGGGCAATACCTTGATTAATAAAGAAAACCCCTCTTCTACGTGGAGAATTATCCAAATGGGACTTTCAAATCTTTGAAGTGAAAAAAATTAACTATAATGCTGGAAAACCACCAAAAAATTCTATTAGCTACTCCAAAAACTACCCATCTGAAGCAAGGCTTCAAAGTCCTAGTGCAAAATATAAAATAGCAAAATGTCCCCAGTTCTTTATGGGCACTGAACAATAAGCTTCAAAACTAACTTCATAATTGAAGTTCATCACTCACTCTAGAAGCAAAAAAAACCTTTTAATTAATACACAGAATATTATTATGATGTTCAAGGAAGACTCATGAAAATTTATACAAAATTTACAGTAAACTAATTTTATGCTGAAAGAGTAGGAACGTCTGGATTTAAAGCTTTTGATAATTCTACCTCAGCAAGCTGCATAAGGACCAGTAACAGAAAGATTAATGATTCTGAAGGTATTGACTGCTAAGCGTTGAATTGGATTTCAAAACAAATCCAGAAAAATTTAATTCTCAACAGGGAGTTAAGCGCTTGTATTATTAATTTTCAAACACTGGCTGTTATTACAAGCCAATTACAGACTTGTATTTACACCTGTGAAAATATGGGCAGTTTTAGGTCCAAAAAGGCCATGCTTCCTCTTATGTATAATGGAGGCAAGAACAATGAAAGTCCCTACTTTCCTGATAATAGCCAAAAGACACCAAAAAGCTTCCATGAATGGAACAAAATAAAAACAGCATATGAAGACTGGTCAAGTACATAAAGAGAAAGCTGCTCTCTTGATTCCAGTTAATAAACGACAGCAGATGGCCAAACACGGAAACCAATTTAAGTATTAACCTAAAATACTTAAATAATCTTTAAAAAAACCCAAATAATCAATATCCACTGATGCAGTCTTACCAAGCTTCAGGCAACAAGAAAGCATATTCGTGTGGTGAAGTAGTCTCTGGGAAATTGGAGAGAATTGCCTGTCTGTGTGGAAGTAAAGCTGATCCATGGAAAGTGAACAGAATTTCCAGGGCTCTGACATTGCTTTCCTGAAGAGCAAGACAGTAAGTTGCAAAAATAGCTTAAGATTCATTTAGACTGAAAATGAGCAAGAAATCGAAGTCTAGGTCATGCAACAAGCATTTAATTTAAAAATTTTCTTTAGCAATAAGGAAAATTAGCTCAGTGTCACTGCATTTCTTTATTTACAAATACACCTCCCTCAGCTCTTAAATTCCCACTGAGATTAAACTAAGTCCAAAGGGAAAAAATGCACTTAAGTGAAAACAGCAACACCAAACCAAAATTACATTCTTGCAAAATAAATATTAATACCCGAGCATAAGTTCTTGCTGAAAGTACAATATTCTGATTTCTGAACTTTTTGAAGAATTCACCATCATAGTGCTGTTCAGCTGCATGAGGCCCTCCAAGGATTTCCTTTAAAAAAAAAAATTAAGTTGTATAAGATTGGTATTTTATGAAGGATTTATAAAGGCACCAAAAAGCCTACATGTTTATTTATAGTAGGATAACTAAGTACGAGATATATGTGGAAAAGCACGCTGCTACTTTTAATTTGTTTCAGATGCAGATGCATTTTTGATTTACAAGCTATGACTACTCTCTGCCTCATTTTAATTAGGGTTTAGACAGCATTAGTTAAAACGAGATCTGGTAAAAGTCATAACATGACTAGTGATAACTGCAAAGCTAAAGTTAAAAAAACTAAGGAAAATACAGTTTGACATTCTGAAACCTTTCACTTTGTTAAGTTCATGGAAGAAAAAGATTTGTCAGAGAATCTGAATAGGACTTGCTAATTAGACTGACAAAGAGAAGTAATAGTAATCCTACAGCAACTCCACATCCCACATAACTTAATTCCCTGCAGACACAGTACGTTCAAAGTAGGCTTCTGCCCAGCTGCACCTCCCAACACTAGAAGCCAGCAATTTACAACAGTGAAGCATGAGAAACACAGTAGTTTGAACAGGAAAACAGTTTACATTTCTCAAGTGAGAGTCTGTAGTATTTCACGAGGACTATAAACATTAAAACTACAATATATAACAAAAAACCCATGATGTTGTGACCCAAAGTGTTACAGCAATACTTATGGAATGAGAATTCAAAAGAACCAAGTTTCCTCACCTCGTAGGTTTCAAGGCGATCCAGGTAAGTTAACAGCTTCAGTCTGCTACGGCAGAGTTCTTTTTGTTCCAGTGTCAGTCTGGGTTCAAAACAGGAATTTTCACATTTAAAATTGATACCGTACAACATGTGCATATGAAGACAACAGTTACCCATTTTAATGTCTTCGTGCACTGGGATATACCGAGAAATTAAGTAAACTGAGAACTCTGACAATATAATGCCAATTAAACCACTCTCCTATTAGGAGTAACACAGTGAGAGTAATTGCATTCTTGCAACTGTGTAGTTATAGCAAACCTATAAACACAAATAAAACATGGCCTAACATTTCATTTACTTTGAGAAGTTTACTGTTAATAGCAGCTCTTGACACTTCCTGGATTCCTTTTTCTTTCTAGTATCCATTTCTTCAGCTGGTGACAAAAAGTCTTCATAGGGAATTTCAATGTCCACGTCCCCAGGTAAGATAAACCTGGAAGATAAGTCCAACAGGTTACTCAATGTTGATACAAAAAAAAAAAAGATATGACAAACTAGTTTTTGAATAAATACACTAACACAGCTTCCCATTTATGTCTTGACTAAAAATCTAAACTTTTATAGAAAATTATAATAGTGAATTTTGCTGTTGTAAAGAAGCAGCCACTTATCACATGGAAACAAGAGGCATCATCTCTTGCTTCCAATCCCTCCCTTAAAAAGCAAAAACACCCTCAACCAACCACACAGCTATGATGGTTGATAAAAGGCAGCACTGGGATTGGCAGCAGCTCTACAGCGTACAATGGTAACAGATAATTGCACGAAGAAAGAAGAGCCTCCCCTGTTTCTACCACCAGGAACTGAATTCCAAAGAGAACTGTCCATATATTTCCCCACTGAACCACTGTGTTTTGCTTCGTTCCCCTCCCCACTTGAACAACAGAAGATCACTACAATTAAAGACATACAACAAAATGCATGAGGTGCAGCTTCCAGAAGAGGCAACAGAAACAGCTTCTCACCAAAAAAACCAGTAACATTAGAAGTTCTCTGTGATGAAAAAAATAAAGCACATCCAAACACAGTACAAAATAAACAGTAATTTTACCTTTGTAAAAGGTACCTTGCAAAAAAAACAGTCAGATTCAAAGCATTACCTTTCTTTATGTCCTGAAGAAGGATCTTAAAATTTTCATTATTGCTCGATTTAAAAAAAAACCTACCAAATTATTAGAAAAGACTTCAAGCAACATTCTTTAAAAAGAAAAAAACAAAACAAAACAAAACAAAAAACTTCTTCCCAAACCTGCCACCGTCTTCTCCTTTTCCTATGGCCACAAGAGCCTCCAAGTCCGTGCCTTTCAAGCCGTACTGAAGCAGCTTCTTAGCAGCATCCACATTCTCTGGAACTCTTTCCAGGCACTCGTGAAGAACCCATGAGCGCTTCTTGATTTTGCTCTGTCCAAGAACAAGAGCATAGGCAAAATGCTACATGCTTCAATCCAAAGCAACAAAACCAGAGATGTTAAAATAGTCTAATGTGTTTCTTTCACTTAAGAAAATGTCAAGTTAATCTGATGACTGACAATGTGAACCAACAGAAGACGTGAGAATGCAGAAACCATAATTGCCTCAGAGTATATGTGACAGAAAAGGGCACAGAAATACAAAATGATTTGCCAAAACTTTCACAACAACTGGAACAGAAGTTATTATTTGTATTTCCTAATTAGTATCACTCATTCTTATACTAAATAAAAAGTGACGGTTCTGGGCTAAAACACAGTTGTTATAAACAGAGGGTACTCCACTATAGCACAAGAATCATTTTTGGTATCAACCTCTTCACATACCAACAGGATTCTGTGACAGAAAGGACACAACAGAGTCACAAAATACTACTGGCATTATCTGCTGATCTTCAGTTGAAATTACATAGCACATGGAGAACAGCAACTTGTACAAATCTTATTTTGACATTCAATTAATATCTGACTTCAAAAACAAAAATTTCATGATACTTCTCTTGATCTCCTGGAAGAGCTTACACTACAGCACGATTAGGCTGTGCATCTTCGACAACACTTGTCTGCTGACTTTGAAGTCTTTCTTCCAAGACAAAAAAAAAACCTAGGTTGGATTTTATGGAAAAGCTTCAGTCACAGGTAGGAGGACTCACTGTAAATTTTCTTATACAAACTTTGCTATATAGCTACTGATACCACTTCACCTTCCTATTTAATTTTCTACAATACTTGGAAGTTATTTAAATGCTTCATATTTCCAATTACTATTATTCATTTACCAGGCAACAACCAATTGCTGCATGTAGGGGAGAGATTACATTACAGAAAGCATCCTGCTATCAACAGAAATTAAAAGATACTTGAAAGATTGCCATTAACTTCCAAGGTCTCTGGATCAGGCCTTCAGTTAAATTAACAGGATCACTCTCTTCCACATGACAAGAAATTGAATTTGCAGGACAGCTCCCCTAATTGCCACCAATTTATGTTGTATAAATTAGAATATAATTGAGAATCCAATTTCTGTAGAGCTAACACAGCCATTCTGATAAGAAAGTCTAAAAGTCACAAAAAACAAACCCACCAAGTAGTCTTGAATTGAAGCAACGTTAACAGTTGACTTCCTCCACTGTCTTTGATACACAAGATCAGAATCAAGGCCATATGCTTGAGCCAAAGACAGAGCTTCCCCATATTCTTCATTATCAATCTAAAAAGCAAACACATGAAAATGAAAATAATCTAATTTCCCTATTAAACAATTATTAATTCTATGTGTTGAAACAGGTAAATGAATAATTACTGTGGAATGCTTAAGCAGGTAGGAAAGAGAATGGCTCAAGATACAGGTAAGGAAGACTCTGACCTGATGGACACCTCTGGAAAATAAATCAGAGATTTTTTCCTCAAGGAGAAGGAAGAAGTTATTCAGGTAACCAGGGTGACATCAGCACTACCTAGAAACTCTTAACAGCTATAGAGGCGGCTGGTTTACCATCAGAACAACTGAAATGACCTAGACAAAGTACTGCCCAGAGTAGTCTTAAAAATGAAGAAGTGTGCACTAAGAGTCACAGGCCTAATTAGTATGTAAGCCTGAAAAAAATAAGCAAGTTAACTACATTCACATCAGAGTGTATGTTAACCCATTTCTTGGTCAACAACAAGCTCAACTGAATTCATTCAATGTATTTGCCAGGTCTTTCATTGTTTGTAGACACTCACATGAGTACACTTTCAAGTCTGGCCAAGCTAATGATGCACAGTGTCTCCTCAGTGACCTGCAAACATCATCTCATTTGAATCATTATAATGCTAGTTTTATACAATGATCCTTTCAAATAGACAGTACACTGTCAACTAAGAGACACTTTGAAATATGTGCTCAAATCCTGCTGTTAATATAGCAAGAATTAAAAGAAAAATAAAAAGTTCTTTATTTATAAAGCTGATTATGAGACATAAGAGCTTTCCTTCTATACTTACTTTTCTCTGGTACAGTTCCTCTGGAGTCGTGGATCTCAAACTCACAAGGCGGAAATTCTTTGTAATAGTACGTGGACGCTTCCGCGGAGGAGCAAATCGTTCCATTTCTGTCACAAAGTACAGGCCTTGCTTCAGGTAGCTGAAGTACCTGTCCTTAGTAGAAGTTTCATCATCTGAGTCAGAGTCATCTTCTCCCTCATCTTCATCACCAGGCCTGCTCTCCAAGCGCAATCTTTTTGGAACAAGTTTTATCTCACACTGCAGAGAAAATAGGAATATGAAGCATCTACCCAGTACTCCTCACCTATTGGGTTGGCCAAAAAGTTATTGCATTTTTTGGTTGGTAAATGAAAGGTGACTTTTTCATCGGAATCAAAAACTTTATTAAACAACACAGTGCCCGTTTTGTTCAATTACTTTTTACCATCTTTCTGGCAACTTTGTGATTCCATAACGCAAAAAAGGTCTCAACTTTTTTGGCAAGAAATAGTTCCAAGAACGATTTGACATTCTCATAAGCAGTGAAAGTTTTACCATTTAAGGCATTTTGTAAAGAATGAAATAAATGGCAGTCTGATGGTGCCAGGTCTGGCAAATATGGTGGATGTGGTAACACATTCCATCCATCAAAACAATTTTTGGCAAGTGACTAGACTTGTAGGTGGTCTAGCGTCATCACGGAGAAACACAACACTGACTCACCAATTCTGGATGCTTCTGTTTGATGGCATCATTTAATTTATCCAGTTGACAACAGTACACATCAAAATTAATGGTTTCGTTCCTTAAAAGCAATGCAAAATACACAATACCTTTGAAATCTCACCAGACTGATAGGCTAACCTTCCTTTGGTGAATATCTGCTTTTGAAGTGCTCTGAGCTGCTTCATCATGCTTGCTCCATGATCTTTTTCATTTCTTATCATTGTAGGTGAGTCGTTTTTCATCGCTTGTCATACATTTCAAAAACTGATAGTTTTCTTCATGTTTGAAGATGTCAAGGTGCTTAGTAAGATGTATTATTTGAGCTTTCGTGGTACCCAAATATTGAGTCTCCTAACATATCCAAGTTGTTTTAATGCTTTTCAACGCTCCATTTTGACATGTTAAGATTATCAGCAGTCTCTCATGTTGTTAAATGCCGACTGGATTAGATCAATGCCTTTACTCTGTCATTATCAACTTCGATTGGCATTCCTTGGGGGTTGGACTGGATGATCTTTAAAGGTCCCTTCCAACCCAAACCATTCTATGATTCTATGATTCCTGAGCATGATGCATCTTTAACATCAAAATCTCCGGACTGAAATTTAGCAAACCAATTCTGACACTGGCATAGTTTAAAGACATCTTCCCCATACACATCACATACCTTTTTTAAGCTTGCACAGCATTTTTTCCTTTTCTGAAGTAATACAGCAAAATATGACAAAAATTATCCTTTCAATTTTCCATTTTGAAATAGATGTCAAACAAATAATTGTTAACTAAATAGTGTACTTTCTTTTTCCAAAACAAGCTTGAGCTGTCAGCTGTCAAGTTACATAATGAATTTGCAGTTTAAAATTAAGTTAGTTATATTTTAAGACGTATAACCATCTTTGTTTGCTTAACATGCTCCACAAACCCTGTGTCTGTCTCCTAGATCTGAGGCTTCACCAGTTACCTACCAAAGCAATAGTGAAGGCTTCTTAATAGTAACCTGCTATTACCCTAAACATGCTACACCAGCCCAGACAGGACAGAACTATGGAGACATCCTCGTTCAGTTACATAGCTTACTGCAGTGTACAGCAGTTTTCAACTCTCAGCTACTCAAAGAAAGGTTTTCTGTTCAATGCAGATGTAATCTCAGACTACAAGCTTAGGCTGCAATATGCCAGTCACTTGCTGTATCTCATTTCTAGAATAATAAACATTTCAAAAAATTCATGCAAGTTTTGATATGTATTGAGATATTCTGATAAATATTATCCTAAACTTTTGTTTAAGATGTTGAAGACTTATTTACATGCAGGCTTTAGGAAAGAGTAATTTTCTTATTTTCAAAGAAAATTCCTGGTAAACTTCACCACATTCTACTCTTTCCTAGAATCCTACTAAAGATGAACAAAAAAGCCCAACAACCTCTCTTACTCTTTATCTTAATTTGAATGTTCCTCGTTTCTTTTAAATATAATACCCCTGTGTAAGTGGCATGTTTCAAAATCACACAGAATCACAGAATCGCTCGGTTGGAAAAGACCTCTGAGATCATCATGTCCAACCGTTCCTGTTTACCCACTAAACCATATCCTTAAGTACCTCATCTACCCACTTTTTAAATACATTCAGGGATGGTGACTCCACCACCTCCCTGGGCAGCCTGTTCCAGCTTCTAACGACCCTCTCAGTAAAGAACTTCCTCCTTATCTCTAACCTGAACCTCCCTTGGCACAGCTTGGTGCCATTACCCCTTGTTCTATCCTCCATCACCTGGGAGAAGAGACCAGCACCCACCTCTCTACAACCTCCCTTTAGGTAGTTGTAGGTGGTGATGAGGAGAGAGATGGGAGAGAGATGCTTACAGTCTTCTTCAAACACACTAACATACAAAGCAGTGAGAACTGCTGACACAGACTGCTTCCTGCAGCAAGACTCCTATCATTCAGACTCAGCCTTCTAAGACTTTTGATTCGACACTCCAGAAGTTATTTGACAATCAAGTTTTAACAGTTAAGTTGCAGCAAGTTCAGAATTTCCCTGAACTTGGAAACAGAATCACTTTTTCTATTAGTAATAATAGTTTTGTTTGTTGTTGTTTGGTTTTTTTTAACCACACCACACACACAGCACCCTTAGGATTACAAACACAAAAGCAAACTGTTTCTACTGCGTGCCAGAAAGTTATCTGCTATTCCTCACCTCCAGGCTTAGAAATCCTCCATCATGAGCAGAAGTGACCTGAGGAGAACTCTCAAACCATTCACACGACCTTCCCAGCAAGTTTCTTAAGGTCTTGACTGATGACACAGTCAATGCACCAGAGCAGCGAGCCAGGATGATAGAATTATCTGCCCACCAATTTACATCTATCAATGGGAAATAGGATTCTTTATCTAAAATAAAGAAAGAAAGAAATAAGAATGCAACAAAGAAAGGTAACTTTAAACACAAGAGAAACGACTTCAATTACTAAGACATTTCATCTGACGGCCTAATTTGACCAACATTTATTATTGTATATGCATCCTTGGTTCACAAAGTTTCGATTTTACATCAATTATATTTTACTAAATCAGTTCTGCATCAAATTAAAGCTGTTGAGGAGAAAAAAAAGTACTTAATTATGGACATAATTATTTTTCAATATTATATGGAAAAAGAACTCACAATAAACTGATTTACTTGCACAAATTATGACAAATTTCAGACATTTGATAAAGATCTGCTTCAGTACTTCCTAGGACATCCTTGACCAAGCCTTCCTGGCAACAAACATAATACTGAAGAAAATCAGAGGTTACACTGCTGTTGAGGACAAGTGACAACTATGAACAAGGCTCCTGAAACAACCTACATGATAAGGTTGTTAGGAAGATTAAGCCAACATAGCAAAACAAAATAAAGTCACCATGACTGAAGACGGAAGCTGTGCCATTTCTAAGACTGTCTTGATTACGGTAATTGGATTTTGCAACAAAACGTTCAGAGAGTTAGCTCCATTTGTTCACTACAATGTCATTTGCCACTTCTGATGAAGACAATCTTTCCCCAAAAGCACTGAGAAACAGATCAGCTTATTGCTTTTCTGTCAGTTCAGTGTTTAGTCAGCAGCCTATCCATGAAGGTCAGATGAGTTAACCCAAGGACACAATCACCAAGAAAAGTACTATAAAGAAACAGGGATCTTTTAATAACATAAATGAACACAAGTAGTGAACAAATCATTGATGTCTGCACTCTTGGAAGAGCCATGCAATGACCAGGTGATAAATGGCTGCACAGAGTGCCCTGAATTCTGAGAAAAGACTAGAGAGACTGACATGAGGCAAATTCAGTCAGAGGAAACAAATCCCTTTGTTTTAGAATATATAAATATGTAATACATTTAAATTAGATTAGTTTTCAAGATGTATTAAACATCCATAGAAAGAAAAGGTAAAGACAAGTTTAGGCTACTGTGTCACCTACAACATTATGATGTCTGATACAAGCCGAGACATCTGCTGAGTGTTCAGCATTCTACAGAGCCACAATCACATGATTAATAATAAATTAAGTCCTGCACTAACTGGAATATCATCTTATTTATCGTTATGGCTACAAAAAGTATTCCTAAGAGAGGATTTAAAAAAAACAACTATTATGACACTCATTTAGCTATGCCATGCTACAAATTCAAACCATACATACAATTTTGGTAACTATTCCAATTGAGATTTATTAAGCCATTTCAGGTCTTTGTAGAGTTCTGTAAATATTTTTAACTACACAAAGGTATAATATAATGATCTAACTGTATCACATACCTTTTATTTTCTTTCTTTTTTCACTAGACAGTTTCCAGTCTGGGTTGATCTCATCATAACCTGGCTAAAAAAAAAAGTGCAAGAGGAAAACAAGGATTATATGCAATTAAGTCACTAACACAGAAAATTTGTGTATTTACTCATTTTTCAATTAAAATGCTCCCACATAAATGCAAATATTTCCTCAACATAAAACACAAAGCTGCTGTACTTTTACAAACAATTCCTGTAGAAAGCATATGACTTACTAATGCCAACTTGATGAACAAACTATTCTGGAGTGTTATCTGGCAGACGGCAAGGTAAATTTTGAAAAAGGAATAGATGAACACATTAGACACACAGCAGACTTTGATTTCAACCACTCAAATAAAGTTACCTGTGTTGGTCTCCACTTACATTTCAAAAATAGTATTTCAGTCTACTGATATCAGTGTTACCCATTTGGCATCAAAATGCCTCATGAAAAATTCAATCCAACATAATTGGTTCTTTTTCTTAATTTCTAAAGTTTAAGGCTTATAGTCAAAACATAGCAGATTACTGTAAAATTAAATATAGTGCTTCTGAAAATCTGGAGTTGACTGGAAAGACAATATGCAGCTAAAACACAGTTATCTGAACTTCTCTCATTTCCTATGAAAACATATCTCCAAAGAATTAAAATATAAACTGCAAATTTCTAAAGATCTACATCCTTCTTACCTGATCACTTTGGTCCCATTCTCCTTGTTGTCTGAGAGATGGAATAGACCAGATTGTCAGTTTTCCTGAGAAATGAATAGCTGCCAGAAGAGCTCCATCAGGAGAAAGATTCATCTTGAAAACTCCATCCTGCCAAACACGATGTCAGCAAAATAAAACAAAACCCAACCAGCCAACCAACCAAACCATATTCTCTATTTTAGGAAAAATGAATTGTACAATTCCATCCTGAAAATTTAACAACCTTTAAATTTAATTTTAAAAAACAAATGTTTAAAGTCAGAATAAAGGTAAAATATCAATTGTGGCATGGAGGAGTAAAACCTTACCATAACATTAACAAATCTTTAGGAATGTGAACTTGCGTATCACACTGCCACACAACAAAGAAAATCTGAAAGCATGGCATTCATAGGAGAACACTGCAGAGACTAACACAGGGCTAGTCGGAGGAAAAACTGCAGGTTGTTCTCAAATGATCTGTTTGGAGAAAACAATCAGCAACCTCAATTTTCTACTGTCCTGCCTCTCAGGTCCACCCAACACAAACACAGCTTAGTACAGCTTTTCCTTCCTGTAAACAAACTTTTGTATGGGCATTATTACAATTAATAACAGAGGATACAAGAGATACATAGATGAAGACATATTGAAGGAACATATTGCTTATTACAGGACACTGAACCTGAATTTAATAATTTCCTGGGTAAAAACAGAGTAAGAAGGAGTATAGTGAACATCAGATTAAGTTCATGTAGAAGAAATAATTCAACATCTGTAAGTAAACTTCACCAAGATTACAAAAATTCTCCTGGATGAAGTTTTCCTTAAGCTCTGGATATCTTAAGAGGCAAAATGTACTTCAAGAAAAAATATTTCCTTAAGGTTTCATGAACTCCCACATAATTACAACTGAAACTATACACTATTTCCACAAGACAAGAGCCTCTACATATACACTCTAATTTTATAGTCAAATTGAGCGCTACCAGCAAAGCTTCTGAAAATACAATTTATATTGTAAATAAACCACCCTCAACACAACTTCTGTGTTTTCAGAAAGATGGTTAGGTTTTCTCTAGAGAGTCTAGTATTCATTGAAAGATAGCAGGATGTAGATTCCCAAAATTGATATTGTTCATAAATTCCCATTTTGTTAGTGCAATTTGCTTTTTAAAACTTACTAATAAAGATCCAACATACAATAATGTTAGAACTAGCCAAATCTGCACCTAATTAATTTTTAAGCCAGCACCTCCCCCCTAAAAAAGTTACTAGAAATTTATATGATTAAGAAGTTTTAACAAAGCTTCTACAGCACATCAGTGGTAGGTATCATCTGAAGATAACAATATTCTTTTAGGGTCTCTTTGTCTGAGTTTAGGGGGATTTTATTCTTTTTAGTTCTTAGGTTGTTCTGAGTTCTAGCTATGCCACAGAAACAATGATGATCAAGTCATCTGCTCACTGTTGTACAGTGGTTTGCAGCTATTGAGAGCACTGCTTAAATTCAAGCTTAAAATATGTTTAATTGAAAAGGATACGGCAATTCTCTCTTTACAATTTTAGTTGCGTGCAGAGAGGACAAAGAACAAGAGACTGTTAAAGGACTTATAAATGTCTAGCTAAAATATATAACCCATTCAGATAAATGGTCAGTGGTATACATCACAGACCTTAACAAGGGTTAAACATTTACTCAGTAGACAGCAATAAAGCTATTGTTAAATTTTGATGTTGGTTGGCCATTAACACATTCAAATTTACCACCCGAGCACAGTTATCTACAGAGATCAATCAGTCCTTCAGCAAAGCAGGCAATGCTGCCTCAGTAAATAGCTTGGCAGCTGAGGGAACTGCAGAACGAAGTACTGAAAATCCCAGCAGGTTGGGACTTTGCATTTTGTAAGTGTCATTTAAGTTAGGAACACTAAGAACCAAATCCCAATATAGCTAGTTCTAATATAAAAATCCTCTAGCTGCTGTGCCTGACATACCTTAACACTGTTGCCAGTTTCCCAATAAGAATATATAAACTATACCTCACGTATTTAAGCCATGGTCTCTTGAAATCAGATTAAAACAACCAAGGAAGAATAACAATACCAGCTTTTCTTTGTAAATTTAGTACCGGCAAGTGCAATGAAGTTGAAGTTTAGTACAGTAACACTCAGTACCAGCCTTCCAGTAAAAAAAAGTTTACTTCAGCCTTTTCTTTTATCTTTTCAGTGAAGGAAATAAAATCTCCCCCCATTCCACCTTTGAGAGAGCTTCAGAAAGATTTGGATTCCCTTCCAATCAAGCATGCAATTTCTGCTTTTAACCAGTCACCTAAACATCCCAAAAATCTGTTAAGGTCAATTCCAAAGTCCATATCACTACAGAGCAGACCAGACCTCTCAGGAGGACACAGTGAGGGTGGTAGATGGATTCTTTACTGATCTTTCCTTGCAAAGCAGAAGAAGGGAAAATAACATTTTTCCAAGGACAGAAAGGGAGAAAAAAAAAGCATCAAACAAAGGCTACACACCACCAGTAGACAAGAGATAGAACTGCAGTAGCTTGTGGGTAGCTCCTGTAGAGGAAAGCCCACAAGCACTGTGTGCAAAACCTTAAGAAATGTAGAAAGCACACACCTAGACCTCAGTATGACACTCAGATTTAACACTCACTCATTCAGGGGAAAGGAGAATAAAAGACCCATAGCCAGAGTTTGCTAGGAACAAGTTGATTCTGATGAGCACCTTGATTGGGTTCACATGTGTTCTGCTAGTAGAACTTTGACCCATAATAAACCTCTGAAGCTACTTAGCAGAATGTTTCTATAGTATCTCATAACAGACTAAGAATTAAATCTCTGTGTCTGCCCTATTTAAGCCATGAATGAATAGTTTGAATCTACTCATTTTTTCTTCCCTATTTTGTATGAAAATGTTGGGCTGCAAGGGGAGGGCTGTTTGTTTGTTTGTTAGTTTTCTAGTGAGAGTGGGGTAATACAAAAGGTTGGGTTTTGGACTTCCTCCTATTTCTCTCTCAGGCACATACTTCAGAAACTTCGTCACAACCTACTCTCTTCTTGGAGAAGATATAACACACTTAACATGCTATGATCGTTATATTCATTAGCAAATAACTAGGTGACTTTCTACACCTTTCTTTTTGAATAAGAGTTTACATTTAATATTGAACTCTACATCTCTAGACCCGCTCCTGTCAGTATGCTGAAAATCCAAGATTCAAGCTTCAGCAGATGAACTAATTGGATTTTTCAAAAAGCCAAATAAATGGCAAGCTCTTCTGTTTAATGCTAAAAGCTCATTATTTTTGATAAGTTTTAGAGAAATGTTAATTCTTAAGTTGCATAAATTGAAAACTCCTTTCAATCAGCCTCTCACAGTCATTAATGAACAATTATGTAAAATGCATTTCTGAGGTAGACTTAGACCTTAATACCTGTTCTGTTCCCCGCCTGCTATAAAATCTTAAATTCATAATCCTTAATAATCCTCTTCTCTGTGCCTGTAAGAACAGAAACATATCATACAATGAAAGACAATCTCTTACATTCTTCTATGCACCAAAACCTAAGTCGTATGTAAAGTACTAAAACAACTCTGCATGATTCTTTAAACTTTCATAGCACTATTTTAAAATAATGCAAGGATAATAAAATGCAGTTTGTATAACTTTGCCCATTTCATTAGGTATGCACAGAAAAGCACTACTCATTTACAATAAAATCAACAGCTTGCTTATAATACTAAGCAATACCTATATTGTAAGTAGATGCTGGAATTTGTCCTGGTATACTGTAAATGGTTTTACTATATCCACACAGGAGTTGTTACCAAATCATTTACTTCTACTAGAAGAAAAACAAACAAACAAACAAACAAACAAAGCATCACCAAGAGTGACACTTAAACTGAAACATTTATTTCAGGTGTACTGCCTTTTGTTACGACATATTAAAAAGACAAAAATAACTGATTTTTTTCCAACAGATAGGAAACATATAGGAACTCCTTAGTTGTGTACTGGTATATTTCCATGCTACATTTTTGGTTGTTGTTTTGTTGTTTCTTTGTTTGTTTTTTAAATCACACGTGATAATCAAGAAGTTAGAAGTTCAAATAATACTACAGAAAAAGCAAAAATAAACAGAAAATAGGGAGGAAGAGCTAACTCTAGAAGATCATATCATAGCTTACAACATAGCAGAACACTGAATTAAATTCTTCTTTCAAAAAACGATTCGTATTGAACTTCCACAGTTAGATAATTCTGCCACTGATAATAATCAGCCAATAAAATGAAGAGAACTACTTACTGTTCTAATGTCATCTTCATAACTAGTGACCTGTTTGTAATGGGGAGAGCCTGACAGAACTCTCCAAGCAGATATCCCGCAACCAGTTGCTTTACATACCCCATCTTCATCTGTTTCACAGCCTCCTACAAGCAAAAGTCTGTAAAATATACAAAGGAATATTATGATTTCATATACCACCACATAATTTTTTTAAATTGTCTTAAGTTGGAACTACAGCAGTTTGCTTGCAGTAAAAAAAAAAACCCAAACACTAAGTATATTAAGATACCTAACAACCCCAATAAGCTTCAAACTTCAAAGTGTTTATTCACAGACAGAAAGACTCAAATATTACTTGAGTAACTTGTTATTTGTGGCATTTATCCCTACCTGTTCTCATTTCTAGCTTTCCAAGTCAGGCATGACGCCTAACATTTAGAAGAAAATACGCCTGTCTATGTTTGAGTTTCTCCCCTACCCTCCAAGAATGATAGTAATTATGAAAAGTTCTATCCATACTGTTTAATTTATTCAGATGTGGTACAAAAGCTACTTCTCTTTTACTGAGGAACTGAATGTGTGAAGGTTTTTCAATTTTGTTTTCTAAAGCCACTCTACCAATTACAGTGTGCATGCAATAGTTTCATTATATACAGTAGATGATATTTTAAAAACTTTCAGGGAACTCTTACAATTATTGCTAATTATCACTAAAATGTATCAAAATATTTGCCCTTGAAGCCCTTTCACCTTAATAACAAGCAGTTTTATATTTAACTGATGATTACTTTGACAAAAACTTTGAGAACAGATGTTTAAATCTGTTTGAAATCATCATTTTAGTGAACAACCCATCAAAAAGTATCTGCAAAAAGGGCATAGACTGTAAAAGCCGGAAGTTCAGCCATGAGAACACTCCTTTATCTATTTTCAAAGTCTGCATTACTCTTGAAATGCTCTACCACCTAGTGGCTGGCGTACATATAGCTCTCAGCTGTGAGCTGAGTGTATTTCAAAACATTTTCTGTGAGAGAAAGAAACTGAAAGAAAAAAGGTGGAAAAATTTTGTTCTCCATTTAATTCTCTCTAAAAGGTCAGTAAAACTTATTTAACATTCCTGAGTCTCATGCTATTCACAAACACACAGCAGGATGACTTCCAGGATGAATGCTTACAGTCTGTTAAGGTTCTGAAGAGCTGTAGTTATTTTGTGGTGTAAAGAGTTGCCTAAGACAGGAAAACAGAAATCACTCTCACCATTTTCCACAAAAACAGCAATAGGAGACTCACAGTCTATCACCACAACTAACAGGAAAATGGGTACATTTACATTGTTCCTACGATCAGAATGTAAAGCATAGCACAACTAAGAGTAATTATTTCTCCCTTAAGGAGATGCTGTTTAACTTTAGAACATGTAAAGGTACTGGCTGAGCATCCATGACATGGGGGTTTCTTCTTGTAGTATACCGAGAAGAAACCCTGTTATCAGATAAGGAACAGATTCCTATCAGAGTCAACAAAATCTGCTATGAGTAGCACAGATCATATTTCAGACTCAGAAAGAGGTTGTGGAGTCTCCTTCTCTGGAGACATTCAAAACCCGCCTGGACGCCTTCCTGTGCAACCTCATCTAGGTGTTCCTGCTCCGGCAGGGGGATTGGAGTAGATGATCTTTTGAGGTCCCTTCCAATCCCTAACGTTCTGTGATTCTGTGATTCTGTGACTCCTTAAAACTGGTGACCTGAACAGCACGTGGAAGCAAACACATTTCTTGAGTTACTGGCATACATTTTTAGTAAGAATAACACAGAAAAAAAGCAGACATAAAATTCAGCTGTCATAGCTTTCAATTGAGTTATGCAGTTGACAACAATTAGCGAAGTATGGTATTGGAAAATAAATGAGAAAACTCCAGCACAGACACAGCAGCAAGGGAGGACGATACTTCAGCATTACACAGATTGCAGAACCGTCACCACGAATACTGCTTGTTAAGCAGAGAATACAACTGTGGCTCAGTGAGCACAGCAACCCCAGTGTTACAATATCACAGAACTCTTGCAGTGCATACCTCTCTTCTGAACAAGCTAATAATATAAGACTGCATTAAGCCATTTATGTGACAAACTTTACATCTTAAATGAACCCAAGCTGCTTTACATTTAAACAGCTTCCAGTCAACACCAACTGTTTGGTTTTGATAGTGGCTGTTCATTCTGGTCAACTGGTTGGACAATTCTCAAGTAAATATTTGGACAGGAACTCAGAGCAACTTAACCAAGACACCACTTTAACCCAAAATACTAATAAGAGTACTTTGTTCTGCAAGTCATGCTTCGGTACCAGAACTCTCTAAGACTATAGGGGTTGGTGAAAAATAACAATAACAGTGGAAAGGTAGACATTGAAAAGTAAAATATTTAAGCAACCCCATACTCAAAAAACTGGAATTCAGAAGCAACAAGCAGGACAACATAGCAAGTTTAATTCCATTCAACTTTGAGGCATCAACAAATATCAGAAACTACTTGAACAGGTGGTTTTTTTTCTTTCATGAAGAAAGTTACTTTAATGAGTAAGGCTTGGACAGAAGCACATCCAACCTTCAGGAACATGGAAAACAGTAACACATGAGGTATAGCCACCAATAATCACCACAGTTCTCAAAACTACATGCAATACTTTAATATCAAAATTTCTACTGATTACTGGGGGAAAAGTGCATTTGGAAACAGAAAAAATTCACAGATTAAGTGTCACACAATTCATAGTCCTTTTGCTTGTTTCCTTTCTACATATTTTTTTATTTTCCTTCTCCCTGATGTTTCCCTTCTGCAGCTTTGCCCTACAATTTTCTATCAGAGAAGCTTGACACTGCCACCAATCAAAGAACGTTAGGTTTTAAGGTAAAATACTTGATCTAGCCTGTTGCACATGATGCAGTTTATGGCCATGTTAGCTAACTGAGAAGAAACATGTTTGGGTATCCAAATACCTGAGCACACAGTCTAGTATCATGAAATCACATGTTAAAACACTGAAAGATACTGGCAAGATTAACATTACACAGATCATAATGCATAAAGTGACGAATTTCCTAACTTTTTTTTAAGCACAGAAAGCAACTTTGATGTATCTCTTTCTCGTAACCTTTCATAAGGAAAAAAATAAAAATAAAAATCAGTAAACAAGAACTTAATGAAATCGCGACAATGCTGCTGTGAATTCTAAATAACCAAAAGACAGCTGGCACAATCTTCTGGAAAATTAATCTACCTATAGTCTTGTCCATGCATAGGCACCTAAATTCTTCCATAAGCTCCAACTTCCACTGCAATATGCCACTGAACTAAAAGTCTCGACAGCAGCAGTGACTACAACTCAACGGCAACTGAGCACACTGTGCCAGAGGTGACTAAGAGACAAATGGCACCACAAAGACTAAGAGAAGAATTGTCAATAACAGTGACAGCAGCAGCTCCAAAACTGCCTGAACCAGCTCTCAAACTCCATCAAGATAAATCTTTTCAAAGAAATTTCAGAAAACCTGTCACATACAGTGCAACATATTTATAATTCAGAGGTATCTTTTAGGATAAATGAAACTTGATGACAGCGAGAATGAAGATGTCATATCAGTTTAGACACACACAAAAAACACACAACCTCTAGACAAAAAGCCTTCTCCCAGGTCTGCAGAGAAATTCATCATGGCAGCACGTACTTAAACTTTTAAAAAGGTTTCAGAGAGCAAAATACAACAGCAGGGACAGAGACTATTAAGATGAATAACACAACTGGCAGCAAAAGAAAATGAAAGGCACTCCTGAGAGCCTCTGCAAAGATGAGGTTTGTTTACCAATTATTTTTTCAGGACAAGACAGGAGATGATTTCAAAATATCAAGTTGTCAGGTAGACTGGGAATAACAACAAGAGAGGGTTTTTTCCTGCTTACTAATTTTTTAAGTTAGTCTCAGTCTAAAGAAGAACATACCATGTCAACAACATTTTTTTTTGTGCCAGTAATGTGAAAAACCACTTTTCTTAGCCAAATACTTAGGTTCTTAAATCACACCACATCAGCTGTGGTTTAATGCCATTCTGCATGGGTCACAAAGCGATGTTAAGTTAATATATGACAAAAGTAATTTCTGAGAAGGTAAAGTTCTGGCTATGTACCTCAACTCTATTTCAAAGGTTTCTCCAAAGTTGGGCTGAAGATAACTAGATTAATACTGGTCTTAAGAACAGCAAGTTCATCTGAGGCATCCAGGAAAAATTTGAGACTTCTACCTAACTCTTCACTCATCAGCCTGGGAACAATAAGCAAATTTCAACCAAATCTAAAACCCTTCATCTCCTATAGCCATCACACATTTTAGGCTCTAATATCACACATTTTCTGTAGCAATTGCAGCTAAACCTGAAGTAAGACATTCAGCTCCAGATTAAGATACTCAAAATCAGCAGGTGTTGAACCTTCCATTAAAGCCTACAGAGAGCTCACACTGAAGCACACATTTAAGTTCTGTCAACCAAAGTGCACCATAAATTCAATCATAGATGAAGGCTGGATCACATGAGAACACCAACATTAGGCATCTAAATTAAAGTATATTACGCTTTTCAACAGCAATTCATCTCATTATCAGACTTCTTCCCAAAGATACTGTGCCGAATTTTCCTACAGATTCAGATACATCCCCTATTGCAACACTCACTGGTATAATCAATCTACTTCTTAATATTAGGAGCAGAAAAGATAACTGTGGGAACAAGTGTCAAGAACCATTAGCCCTGGTCTGATCAAAGGAAAGAATGGAGTAGGTTCTGCTGTCTGGTCAGACAGCGTTACCAAAGCTCCATAACCCACAGCTCAATACTCTAGATGTAGTGTACTGAGTATTGATCATGTGGAATGTACTTAATTATGTGCAGTGTACTATGCATTCATACTAGATTTGAACTAGGTAGAAAGAAGAAACCATACTCAAAATTTATCTCACAAAGTAAAGAGCTGGAAGAACATTACCTCTTACTAATAACCATTTTTCCCTAAGATAGATAGGGCAGCTCACTTAAATTGAAGAATGAGAACAAGTTTTTAAACAGAGAGTTTCTTCTGATATTCTATAGCCAAGCCTAATTTAAAACAATAGAGTGACAGAATATATTGTGCTGGCAAATTCAATCCTACTAGATCTAATAGGAGAAAAATATCTAGAAGGAAGTTTAGTTCCAACTGAAGAGAAATAGAAAAATACATTGTTACATTTATCTTGCTATATAACAAGTAGATATTAAAAAGGTAAACTCATTTTTAACATTAGTAATTAGCTAACCAGGACCTACTTCAACTACATCTGGTTCAAGTGCAGGCAGCCAGTTAGTCCATCTCTCAAGTCTGATAATCTCCACCCAGCACATTAATGAAATGCATCACAAGACAACAAACACCAAAGCCTGGCAGTTCCAGCCAGAACACTAAGGAAAATGGGCTGGACAATCCAACCAGTCCAAGCAATCAAATCCAGACAGAAAAAATCCAAACAAATAATACATCTGTCTTTACCCCCATCGAATTCAGAAAAGACTTCTGAAGCTACTCCTGACGTTCTAAAAAATGTTGCTTATGCAAGGTACTCAAACAGTAAAGAACATAACTTGATTTTCATTATTCCATTAGTAAAGTGAGATCACCAACTTGGGCTTCTTTCGTAGGTACAATGATATATGACTTCTTGTTACTGATTCACTAAGGCGGCCAAGAAGGCCAACAGCATCCTGGACTGCATCAGAAATAGTGTGACCAGTAGGACAAGGGAAGTGATCCTCAGCACTGATGAGGCTGCACCTCAAATACTGTGTTCAGTTTTGAGGCCTTCACTACATGGACATTAATGCACTGGAGCACATCCAGAGAATGGCAATAAAGCTGGTGAAGGGTTTGGAGAAAAAGCCATATGAGGAGCAGCTGAGGGAACTGGAGTTGTTTTGTTTGGAGAAGAGGAGATCTTATCACCCTCTACAACTACCTGAAAGGAGATTGTAGTGAGGTGGGGGGTCAGTCTCTTCTCCTTCATAGCTAGCGATAGGACAAGGGGTAATGGCCTCAAGTTGTGTCAGGGAAAGTTTAGATTAGATACCAGGAAAAATTTCTTCACTGAAAGGGTTATCAGGCATTAGAATGGATTGCCCAGAGAAGTGGTGGAGTCACTGCCCCGGAGGTATTGGAAGGAGTGGTAGATAAGATGCTTAGAGACATGGTTTAGTAGTGGACAAGTTATGGTTGAACTCTATAATCTTAAAGGCCTTTTCCAACCAAACGATTCTATGATTCTAAATACCAGTATTAAACCAGATCTTTTTTATCCCCCTTCTTATCCAACACTTATCAATGTTAATTCTGCCACTCTTGTTCATCATTTCAGCATTAATGGCAGGTAGCAAACAGAACACTTACCTATGACCAGGATGATAAACAACAGTAGTTATTCCATGGGCATAATGGCTGCTAAAGCTGAAACTATGACTTTCTTGAAAGCTTTGATTTGTTCCAACACTAAGTATGGGAAAAAATACATATATTATTTCAGATTTATTTTCTTTACAGAGTGCAAAGAACTCCTTTGAAGTTCACTGTGCATTCTCAAAGCAAGTCAAAATTTATGCTTACCTTACAAGATAACTTCTCAGTTCTCCACGATAATTAATGACAAGCAATTCGGCTGACCATTGGGCACTTGCTTTGTATTCTAGAAAGATCAATCCAGCAATAGCATAACTCAGGTCTCCCGGAAAACTTGCTGTCTTTACCCAAAAATGCAGAGAGACATTGAGAGACAAAGGGGAATTTGAAAAAAAAAAGTCTCTTAGTTACTGAAAGAACTAGTAAGTTAAATTCACTATATTATATATTAAATTTACTATCATATAAATTATATTTTAAAAAATAAAGTTCCACAGTTTGTATTAGTAACAAAATACGTGTCCTTTTACATTGATTTTAAAGACATCTTATTACTATAATGTCTGCAAAGACAATATACTAAGGAAATACACTTGAGCCACCTTCCAAAATCAGTTTATTAAAACCTTTGAATACACAAAATACTAAATATATTGTGGAGCAAGCCAACAGCAATTATCTATTCTTATACCAAGAAAAAAAAAATCCTCATATAGCAATATTCCTTGATATATAATTGACTCTGCATGTGAAGTGCAGATTTGTAATCTAGTACTACAAATTGTAATTATTTGCACACATGCTAATTAGGTGATTGTATATTTGCACAATCTGATGTACCTGCATATCTACCACAATTCTCAGAAAAAGAAAAGATTAAGATTCCGACTAGATACAACAGCACAAAGGATATGCTTTGCAAAGGCTGCACATGACTTAACTGTAATGCATCCATCATATGATAAACACCTCATGGCACATTTGTGCATGGTATTCATACTGCAAGCCCTTATACCAAAGTAAACCATGATTAAAAAAAGGCCAAAGAGAGGAAATTGCCTATTGTCCTTACAAAATCTTCTACTATATTCATATTTAGTCCAAGACAGCACTTACTGGTGTAATGACCAGAAGCTCACTCCCCATTAGGTCAAACACTCTCACTGTTCCAGTGCTTTCAGCATAAGCAAGTAACGTACAATCGTGACTCCATGCCACTCGCCTCCACTGAGGGTTCGGGTCCTTTGGCACTAAGAAAAAGGCAGAAAGTTACTGAAAAGTGAAACATAAGTATAATCCCTTAAACAGAACAAAAAGTCAACTGCACCAAAAAATGAAGGGTGTCTACCCATCACAAGCTAATCACAAAGGAAGAAAAAATAAAAAGATTAAAAAAAAATAGACACTCATCACTTCCAACACTCACTAAAGTCTTCCAAACCCATTAATTTTAGCTATCATCTCACTTCAGATTCAGGCTTTATATGTTAATCATCATGAAAAAAAGAGGGTGAGGGAGAGTAATGGAGCTAGTCACAAAGCAAAATTTATTAAGAGATCCTTCCCAATGCTTTTAAGAAGTTACAACATTATCTTTAAAGTAAGCCAACACCACCACTTAGCAATGCATGAATAATAAACAATGATGGCACTAAGTAATGATGTAGAGGTTGCCATATTGTATACCTTGACATTTTCCAATTATGGATCCAAAGTCATCTTTTGCAGACCTGCAGAAAAAGACTCATATGGATTTAAGTAAGAAAAAAACCCCACTGTTCAATTTTCCAGAATAAACAGAACATTATAAAAATGCACCTAGTGCACAATTCAAAGGCCTCCACTTATTTAACTACTTGTTCAAAAAGACAGATAGTAGCCCTCACCCTTAGGCAGCTGCAGCAACTAATGAGTATTTTAGACACCTTCCTCTCAGTGCATAAATACTAATATCCCTCATTTAGTAGTAATGCTGTTCAAAATAGGACAGCAGCATTTCACAACTTCAGCACGTAACTCTAGAAAAAAAACCAAACTAGTCAGTATTCTCCAGGTTACAGTTTTAGAAACAATGCAAGAATATAGTTACATTAATACAGTTGAAACATAAGATTTATTTTATAGTCTATAAGCTGACATTTATGGTGTTCACACCACAATTTTAATACACTTGCTTCTTTTACATATAAATAGAAGGTCTGACCTTCTAGCAAATGGATTTTTGTGAAGCAAGTAAACACACTCAATCAAGATCCGTTGTACAGCTAAATGTGTTCTTGAACTAGCAAAGGAGAGCTTGCTGATAGACAGCAGAAGAAAAAGGTAAAGCAGCAGTCTTTACGGCAATCCACACAGCTTGTAAAATAAGGTGAAGTATTACACGTGCCAGCTACTCTACAGACAAGCAGAATACTAGCTCCTTGCTTCATTTATTAGGAGAGAAATTCTAGGGGTAACAGAAAGGCAAACGTTAGAACGATTATGATTTAGGGTTAGTATTTTGAAGCATCTTAATTGTTTTTCTTTCACATCTTGAAAAAAGAAAGAGATACAGATAGATAATTATATAAAATTATCTATAACAGTTATAATTGTGCGGGGTTTTGAGGGAAGAGTATTATTTTTCTCAATGGGGAATGGCCAAGAACTAAAAAGAAATAGAAGACTTCTGCCTTCTAAGTGATAATGTATTTTAAGACTATTCCATAATTACTTTCACAATATAAAACATTAAAAAGAAAAAAAAGCAAACACATTAAAAAAAATCAAAAAGTACGATTAGTAAATTATTAGAAACACTTTCTCAGAACTCCACAACTGTGGTCATGAAGCAGTAGATAACACTAAGTTACCTGATTTCTACACATTGGTCTTGAACAACTGCCAACAGTTTACCATTGCTGAAAGAGAAAAACAAAGGTGTGAATGTTCATTTAAAGTCCAGTCCTTACAGAACGTGCATCAGAGCTCTAAGCACTTTTCTGAAATATGAGCTATAAATTTACCCTTTCATAAATCAAAATGAATTGGGAAACATCAACTTTTATACAAAAAAAAACACAACAGTGCTGTAATAAGATTCCGCTCGCGTCCCTGTCATTCTTTTCTAGTAGCGCTAAGAAAACAGAATCAATGTCTAAAAATCTTGCTGCAGGGGAGGTCAAAATCAGATGTTGCTTATGTTATCTAAAACTATGTATTGCTTTACCTGCAATAACTAACTGTTGTACTTCAGTAAGTTACGTCATCTCCTTAGGAGCAGGTCTCCTGTCTTTCTACCTAACATAAAACATTGTAACTGGCATATTGTGCATTAAAAGGGATCATCATTTCCCTCAAAGAATCACCATCTCTCTCAACAGTACAGAGCTCTTGCTGAACCACTGATCACATTCAGTGATCACACATCATAAGCTAAAACATTCCATTCATGTCATTGAACCATTTTTCTGTACATATTTATTCTTATTTAAAAGCCAGTGATCTCATTGATGCTGCTAAAATTAGTGCAGAACAGCTGGTTCTAGCCTTGGAACTCTTACTTCTCCTCTATACATACAATAGAAAACAAGTCTTGAGAGTATGCATTCACTTTCCACAAATTTTAAAATAAGCACTTTATATTAAATATCTTGCCAAGTTACAGGTCTTCAACTTATCAAACTCAAGTTCTGGATACGACCCCAACAGAAGGATTGCACTGCAAGCCACTTCACCTGAAAGGCTGGAAGGAGACTCAGACCTGAGAGAGAGATGCATTAAATGAAGGGAAGCAGCATGGAAGCCCCTAGGTAGCAAACTGACCGACCTTTCCCAAGGCTAACTGTGAAAGTCTCCAGTATTTCTCTTGATCAAAAAGAAGAATATTACTTTAGCACAGTATTAACTCAGCATTGTTATCAATGGGAATGGTGTGGAGAGAAGAGGAAGCATTAAAACATTCACATTTCCAAAAATGGGAAAGCACGTAAGCTGGTTACCTTGCAAGTACTAGGTGCCAGTTGATCTGCTTACTAACTAGACGAATCAGTCCAGTGGGCAGACAAAACTTTGCAGGGCTGAAATAACAAAAACATTAGACTAAATCAGAATATAACCTAACATAAGTAGTACGAGATAAGCATGCCAGATGATTTAGCTTTAAAGCAATCATCAATCACCTGGGTGGTTTAGCAACTAAACATGAATCAACACTGCACCCTGCCAACAATGAAAGCTAACAACATCCTTGTTTGTATTACCACACATTAAGGGAACTGATTATTTACTCATCCTTCTATACACTCTGGTCAGAAGGCAGTTTTGGACACCCTCCATTACAAGAACACCAATAAACTGGAGGGCCACCAAGATGGTCAGGGTACTGGAGCATTTGCCCTACAAGGAGATGCTGAGGGAATGGCACCTGTTTAGCCCAGAGGAGGGAGGGCTTCAGGGGGACCAAACAGCAGCTCTCTGATACCTAGGAGGTTACCAAGAAGACAGGAACCAGTGAGGTGCATGGCAAGAGCACAAAAAACCATGACCAATCTAAAACAGAGTTGATTCCAGGCTGACATAAGGAAGATAATTTGTCACCATGAATACAGTCAGGTACTGGAACAGGTTGCCCAGAGAAGCTCTGGGATCCTTTAAGGTTTTCAAGACACAGCCGGACAGAGCCCTAGGAAACATTCTCTGATTTCGAAATCCTCCTTGTTTTTAGCAGGACTTTAAACTAGAGGCCTCCCAAACTCCCTCACAACCACTGTTATTAAATACATAAATATAGCAACTAGAATCAATTTAAAAAGCTAGAAATCAGACTTTAAATGTGTCTATTGTGGGGAGCGAGGAAAAGTAAGTTAATTTTCTCTGCACCTGAACACTTACAACTAGATTTTATATGATGGTATTGAACCCATAACCAACAATCCATAAAAAAGGGAGGGAGAGCACAAAATTAAGTAGAGCACCAGCAACAAGGAAAACAGTATTGCCTGCTGAATTCACGTATGGCATTGTTTCACAGGGAGCCATGATAATGTCCCTTTCCACATATATCAAAACCAACAGAACATCCCTAAAAAGGGAGAACTGTTATCTTCAAACCTGCCAGTGTACCAGTTATCAAGCTTTTTATATGACAGTCCGTATTGTCAAAAAAAAGTAATGATCCAAAGTATCACTCCAGAGGAAGCAAATCCTGCCATGCCATCATACTCATCATTGAGACATTCCAACTGCAAGTTTACTTAGGCTTCTGATAAAAGCAAAAAGTCAAACTAGTATACATCAGCTCTTTTCTAGATAAGCTTCAGCTGCAACTCAAGTGCTTACAACCCAAACTTATGAAAAGAGAATATTCTTAGCATTGCTTGGACAATATTCTAAACAATTTCAATTTTACTGTCACTAAAGACAACTTTCAATCAAATAAAAAAGCTATAAAAATATTACCAAATAAAAAGATTAAATACTATTTCCATCAAACTTACCTGTACCAAATGTACCGAAGTAAAAACAATGCAGGACCTACAACAGAGTAAGAGGTAAAAATTACATCTCCAGCAGTTTTAAACCACTCTCCATCTTACTGCACACAGAATCTCAGAAATTCTCAGAAAATAAAAAGATATTACGGGAAAAGTCATCTATTCTTGGCTAATGAATTCTTACATTACAGTAAATGCAAACGGCAGATCAAAAAAAATAAATCACTACACATTTCTGGAAATTCTAAGAGAAACTGCTACTGGACAAAACCACAATTCAAGTACTGCATAAACCAAGTGCTGAATGGCAACGTAATGTAAACAGAATGTAAAGCTTCCTGATAGAAGTCTCTAACTACCAAACAGCCCAATGCAGCTGGTAGCGAAAAAAGCCTCAAAAACATTTTGCAAAATACAACACAGCTTCTAAACTTCTTAGATGTATCGTGTATTAGTTTGTCCCAATAAGCTAACAGAGACAAGAAAGCTCACAAAAATGCCATAAAAATAACATGGCAATACTGATAATCAGAAAACATCATCCTGAAAACACATCCTGTGCTCTATTTCCATTACAGGTGCCACTCCCAAGTGGAGAAATTGTAAATTTTCCAAGTAACCCACACATCATTTTTACAAGTCATGAACATAAGAACAAGCCATATTTACCTGTAATTGCTCTGGTGATGATAAATGATGCACCATGTTTTCTGTTGCCTCTTGGCTGCAATTACAATAATGGTGAAACTATGTCATACATTTTAACTTAAATATAACATCCATACATATATTCACTGATTAAATTAAAGTTGCCTGCTAGCCTACAAGATCCTTATGCATTTTCTATTACTCGCAACTTCATATAGTAATTTAACTGCATAAGCTAAAATAGGCTATAAAATCAAGTATTTTATGTGCCAAGATATAATAAAGAAAATGTACTACAGATCGTCCACTGACTCAGCTTTGCCTTGATCTTTGGGTAGTAACAAAAGACATCAACCTTTCACTGTGTTCTTCTGTAAGGTATTATAAATCATTCTTTCTATGCCGAAGGAATGCCAGACTGAACGGTAATGTCCAGAAGTTGTCAAAGCAATTGGTGTTCAATATATGCCAATATATTAACTGGTAAGCCACATAAAGACTGCTCATGAAAGTTTTGGAATTATTAAGAAAAACAATGAACTTCAGAAGAAAAAAATCCTTTTCTTAATGACAATTTGCACTAGGTAACACAGCCACTCAGATCACCACCTCTACTCCATACTGTCTCACGTAGCTTCTTCAGCAGTCCTGCTCTACCTGGGGGAGGCAGGGAACAACAATTACACTCACTATATAAAGGAACGCACTCTCTAAGCACTGGCAAAAAACCCACATAGGATGTATATTCTTAGATGTAAGCAGAGGTAAGAGGAAAAATTTACCAATAAGAAAGTTGGAAAACGGATTAAACTGAGAAGACAAGAAAGACAACCAATAGGAAAGGCATCACACACAAATCTTCAAAATAAGCAGTCATGCTTATGCTTTTCTGGTGAAAATACTGGAGCACCCCAAACTGAGCATTAGAGTAGGTAATGAACTAAATTCCTCCTCCCTCCAGGACAGAATACATGGAACAGATCACCACTTGTTAACTGAAATATTCAGACTTCTCACTCCAAGCTATAGAGCAGCAGACACTGAAAGACACACAAATGTATCAGAACTCCAGAGTATGTCCATGTTTAAAAAAAAATTTAGGCTACCAAATTTAAGTTACTGAAGTAAAGATTAGCAGTTTTCTATGCAAAATTTGCAATCCAGAAATACTTTTGAATAACCATGCTGTCTCCTCTCAGCATGCAGGACGCCAATACAGCTGTACTAATAGATAACGTTCCAAAATTAAGGTTGATCAACCAGAAAATAACAAGACATTACACTAAAATAAGCGAGAGTATAAATTATTTCTTACAGATATCATAGTACCTCAGGAAGAGCTACAATTTCCTAGAGAGGTTAAAAGCAAAGCTTGTGAAAGTTTCTGGATTAAGAAAAGTTCCCAGTAAAAACATTCCCCACATCGCTTATATCTCTTCACATTTTTTTTAATATTTTTAGTGTCCATTAAACTACAGGCTCCTATTCCACATATCTTAAATCCTTCACATAGCTGATTTACCATTATACTCTGAAGACCCAAAATTAACTCTCTGTAATATATTCCTATCACATCAGCAACAGATTTGCTGTATTTCTTTTCTAATTCATTCTCATTTGGGAAAACAAATTCTTCTTCACCAGAGCACTCCAGAAATACAACCTAAGTAACTTAGTCACTGACAAGACACCCACATAGTTTTGGATTTTGTTGCACACCCAGCAAGCTCATGGGGAGGGAGGAGGGTGTTGAGGAAATCTCAAAACATCAGATGTCAATGAAAAAAACCACAGAATCAAGTGATACATCTGATACATTTCAGAATATAGACAGCACTTGTCTACTTGCCCCCTTAACACAGTTGTAGAACCAGTCTCATGTGCCACCACACCCAAGTCCCACCAATGGCTTGCAGACAAGTAAATCGGTCTCAGAGGTTACTAAAAATAAACACTATTCACCATCTCTCAAAACATGGTTAAATAAAAATGGGTGCAACTACCCATTCACCTACACGAGCACTCTATAAAATTATCAATTGGTAACACTGAAGTCATATTTTTCCGAACACTCGTACCTGTTGCTGCAATTAAGGATTTACAGATCAATAGAAACAAATAAAAATGTCTTTCTGGCAAACAAAAATATATTTTCATGACAATGGCTTCAGTAATTATAAACAGGTACATTCTTCCACCTGTGATGTTTTTACATGTCCTCTGTTCAGAGATTCCCATTAAGCATAAAACCTTGCTTAAGGGACTGGTGGTTGAAAAAGTGGACATGAGCCAACAGCGTGTGCTCACAGCCCAGAAGGCCAATCACATCCTGGGCTACATCAAAAAAAGCATGGCCAGAAGGTCAAAGGAAGTGATTCTGCCCCTCTGCTCTCGTGAGACCTCACCTGGAGTACTGCATCCAGCTCTGGAGCCCTCAGTACAAGCACATGGAACTGTTGGAGCAGGTCCAGAAGAGGGCCACAGAAATGATCCAAAGGCTGTAGCACCTCTCCTATAAGGACTGGCTGGGAGAGCTGGGATTGTTCAGACTGGAGTAAAAAAGGTTGTGGGGGGATGCTATAGCAGCCTTCCAGTACCTGAAAGGAGTCTACAAAAAAGCTGGAGAGGGACCGTTTACAAGGGCATGTAGCAATAGGACAAGGAGCAATGATTTTAAACTAGAGCAGAGTAGATTTAGATTAGACATTAGGAAGTTCTTCACTATGAGGGTGGTGAAACACTGGAACAGGTTGCCCAGTGAGGCAGTGGAGGCCCCATCTATGGAGACATTCAAGGTCAGGTTTGATGGGGCTCTGAGCAACCTGATCTAGTAACATTGTCCATGCTCACTGCAAGGGGTTGGACTGGATGAGCTTTAAACCCTTTCAACTCAACACATTCTATGATTCTATGCTTCTAAATACTTCCATAAACTAATATGAGTTTGAAATGCACTAACAACTGCAGGGGACATAAAAACCTAATACAAGAAACAAAGGGAAGTGGACTGCTTACATTTTCTATGTCCAAATTGAACAACAGTAGAGACAGTGGCAGCAGCAGCTGAAGGGGACATTCAGCACATTGAAGGGAAAAAGATGAAAAAGGAAAGATGAAAGAGCATCTCAGCTTTTTCACTGACCCATGGAGAAGACAAGATGGAATGCAAGCAAAACATTCAAATACAAGAATAACATTTTTTCCATCTTTTAAGCTTTTACACCTATTTGACAGCCTTGCAGCCCCAAAGTGAGATACTTCTCCCTTTTCACCTGCTCCTGAAAACACACACACAGTCATACTGAGACACAAGTCTAGGGAGGGAACCAGTCTCCCTCAGGCAAGGTAAGCTTGGTAAAGGCCTCCATGTCACCAGGATGGCTTCCACTGCTCTCAGCACAGCTGTTCCTAGAGTTGAGACCTGAAGTTCACCATAGGTTCCCCCATATCAGCTCAACAGTAACATCTGGTATACATTGGTCGCAGGTAAAGAACAAGAAACAGCTCAAGGCACCCCAGGCAACACAAACGAGGGTGACAAGGCTGAAATTAAGAGACATGAGACCATGACAGGGACAGAGTGAGCGACAAGGGACAATGACAGGGACACGGTGACCGCAGGGACACGTTTTGTGCTTGCTCCTGCAGCCCTTCCCACTCCTGTGCAAGTCAGGAATGGAGTAAGCAGCCCGGTGAGCCTCCTTGCCGGCAGTGGCCCGTCCCTGAGGCCCTCAGAGCCGGTGGCCGCCCCCGGCGCCGAGCCGCTCAGCTCCCGGGGCAGCGGGCGAGTCCCCTCCCGCGGCTACGGTGCC